TGCGAGCGCAGCCCCTGTGCCACGTCCCCGAATGCCTCCAGCCCTCCATCCGCCTTTCCTGCAGTGACTTCTTTCCTCCTTCGACTCGGCGTTGCCACCCTGTCGACGACATGGTCACCTTTGTTTTAAAAAAGAAAGAAAAGCCTGGAGTGGGCTGAGGTGGGGTGGGGTCGTGCAGAGAGCCCGCAGGCGCCTCCGAGGCCGTGGGGCCCTCGTGCGCACAGCACTGGCCCGCCTGGGGCCCGCCCCGCACTCAGGCTGGCTCCTCTCCCCCAGACCCTGCCCACTCTTCTTTGACAAGCCAGGAGGCAGCAGGCCTTTGCCTGCGAGCCAGCAGCAGCGGCTTCAGGGTTGGGTTCCTAGGGACCAGGGAGCTGCTGAGCCGGGTGCCCTGGGTGCAGAAGCTCACTGGATGGACTGGCTGCCCGCTTCATTTCCAGGCTAGGGCGAGTGATGGCATCAATAACCACACAGGCTGTGGTGTGATTAGACAGGGCATTGGGGAAGGTTCGCAGCCAGTCCTGTCCTCGACTCCTGAGTCTGCCTGGTCTCCGGAGCAGGCTTCTGCTTTATCCTGGGTTTCTCCTAAAAGGCAGAACTGGAGACTAGGGCTGGTGACCAGGTGGTTGGTGTTGGGAAGCGGTCTCAGATTCAGGCCCTGGCACCTGAGGACAGGGGAGGCAAGAGCATGGACCAGGGGGCCTTCTCACCGTCTGAGCGGCTGGTGGGACCCTGGGGGAGCTGGGGGCACGCATGCAGACTTGCCTGGCCAAGAGCAAAGAGGGGGGCAGTTATTTACCTGCTCCTGTCCCCCTCTGGGGAGTTCTGGTGGCATAGCACTAAGGCATCTCTCTGACTGCTAACCAGAAGGCTGGCGGTTCAAACCCACCAGCCACTCCTTGGAAGGAAGGCTGGGCAATCTACCTCCACAGTGAGAACACCTTGGAAACCCAAGGAGGGGGTCGCTGTGAGTCGGGGCCGACTCGATGGCAGTGCATTTGGTTTGGTTTGGTTTCGGTTTATCCCCCTCTGCGCAAGAGTCAACCCCAAAAGGAGAACTCCCTGGCATCCCCCCAGGGCTCCCGCAGGAGACGCAGAGCTGCTGTGTACAGCTGAAGGCCTCAGTAATGGCAGCAGGAGATGGAGGGCCAGGAGCATGGGCAGCCGGGCACAAGAGGCAGCCAGCACAGTCCACCCCTGGCAATGCTCTGGTCCCATACCCACCACTAGGTACACAGCTGCAGTGTCTATATGAGGCTGTGAGATGAGCGAGTCTCCGAGGCTGTACCTGGGCCAAGGCTGTGATGGGCAGCTACCCTCTCCCTCTGGGTCACCTGTCACTCTGAACCCATCTTAGATTTACAGAAAACTTGCAAAAACTCTTCAGATAGTTGCCATATGCCCTCCTCTCCACTTCCCATAACATCAACATCTTGTGTAACCTCAGTACCAAAACTTAGACATTCACGTTGGTATAGGACTACTGAATCCTATCCAGGATCCCACGCTACACTTCCTGTGGGTCTCCCTGATCTCCTCCAGTCTGGGCCAGTTCCTCGAGCCCTCCTGGTCTTTGATGAGCCTGCCACTCTGGAAGCATCCTGGCCAGATATTTTGTTGATGCTCCTACCGTGTGGGTTTGTCCAAGGTTATCCGTGGTTAGATTGAGGTTATGTGTTCTCAGTATGTCATATTAAGGGTATGTGGTGTCGCCATGTGTTATGACTAGTGGTATTAACCGTGATCACTTGGGGTCTGCTAGGTTTCTTCAATGTGAAGTTCCTTCTGTAATTAATAAATAGCTTGGAGGCAATACTCTGAGACTATGTAGTATTCTGTTTCTCCTCAAACTTTCACCACCTGATCTTAGCAACCATTGGTGGCTATTGCCAGCAACATTATCACTCTTGTTGTTGTTATGTGCCGTCGAGTCAGACCTAACTCATAGCGACCCCTCCTTGGGTTTTCGAGGCAGTATCACTACGGAAGTAGATTGCCTCATCTTCCTTCTGAGAAGTGGCTGGTGGGTTTGAACCGCCAGCCTTCTGGTTAGCAGTCAAGTGCCTTAGGCACTATGCTACCTTATCACTCTGGTGTTTGCCTAATGGTGATTCTTGTATCAGCTAGCTTTTGCTGTGTAACAAACGATCCCAAAATTTAGTGGTTTGAAACACCCATCGTTTATTAGCTCCCAGTTTTTTGGGATGGACTCATCTGATCTCTCCACCTTTCACGTGCATCTGAGGTGATTGAAAAGACCATGGCTTGGGTCAGGTGCACCTTAGTCTTCAAAGTGACAGCTTTGCTCTTAAACCTTGAAGAGGTCTTTTGCACCAGATTGGCCCAGTGCAACAGATACTGACTGTTCTTTCAGTGCATATACCGCACAGTGGAGCAGCGCTCATCAGCCCCACAGGGCATTTTCCCTGATCCGACATCTTTGCTGAACCTTTCACAAGCATCTCATTATTTTAGGCCAGCTGCTTCTGGGTGATGCAGTACGTGGTAGGACCAGTGGAGCCTGTGGCCAGATGCCCAACGCCACTCCTCCTGTCCTAGAAAAGGGGTCCCTAGCACTGATAGAGCAGATGTTCTGTAAGCCCTTGGATGTTGCTGCCAGAGACACTGTGGACAGGGAAGGCAAATTCCAAACCCAGACAAGTACCAGTGACTGCCCCTCCAGGGTGCAGGAGTGGGGTGCAGTCAACCCCCCACCAACTGCTTGGCTGGTCTCCTGGAGCCATGGTTTTACCCTGAGGGCTCAGCAGTGGTCTGTGCTGCCAGCAGGTTGCACATTCAGTAGTGCCAATATCTGATCAGCCTGGGTGCGGGCAGAGCCCCAGCCCCCCCACTGCAGCCACTGCACTCAGGGGTCTGTTGCCGTCTGAGCTCCACTTGGTCCACCTGGCGGTCGAGATCCTCCTCTGAGGCGAGTGCTTCCTGGTGGCCACGGGCACAAGACACAGAGATTCACGCACACCTCATAGGCACTTCCGCAAACCTTCTCGTCCCTCTCCTCCCAATCTTCTTCCAGGTCCCTGGCCAATCAGCCAAGCCATATTTTCCCTGCCAGGAGTCCATGTATATCTTTATCTCTGACAGTTTCTCCCTCTGCAAAGTGGACAGCCAAGAGCACTGCTCCCAGTCAGCTCACTGGGAGGCTTTCCCCTCACACTGTCCCTTAGGGCCACCCCTGCATGGGCTATCATGTGGCAGCAAGTCCACTTCACTCATACTAACATAATGAGGTCACCCGTCTCAGAATTTGGTCTGAGGTTTTCCTTCTCTGTTAGTCACTCGTGGGAGACCCCCCCACACACACACAGGAGCCCATAGGAATGAGCTGGGGGACAGTGCCAGTGTCACAGAGGCAGGTGATGTGAGGGTAGTGTACTTGTGCCTCTGGGCCCAACTGGTCCTTGGCCTGCTGTGTCTGGAGGACCTTGCGACATGGTGGGCTGACAGCACTCGCCTCACGGTGGGAAAGCTTTGCCCGTATAGTCACCAGATGCCCCATGGTCAGGGTCCTGGCTGCTTTCTGAAGGCCGAGTGGTTCTCTGCCACGAATCCACGGCCTTGCTCCAGACCTTCACAGGTCTGTGTTGGGGTTCCTTCTACGGAGGCTTCCCGACAGCTCCACGCAACCACCATGGACAGATCCCTCTAGTACAAGGAGGTCAGCGCAGTCCTATGCCCCGGCTGGTAAGCAGCTTGCAGTGCAGCCGGGGCCTTCGTTCCTGCTCTAGGCCTCGCTCAGAACTGGTAGCCTGTGCCTGCCAAGGCCGATAGCATCACATGAACCGTGCCAAATAAACGGAGTCACCCTCTTCCTGCAATCAGAAAATCCTGACAGACACAAAGCCCTATATGGGTGAGTAAGGCATGGAAGGATTTCAGAGACACTCAACTGATCCAGGGACAGCACTGAGGACAAGGGTGTGGGGGGCAGCCGGCTGATCAGCACTGCGTGCTCAAGAAACAGAGGTGCTGGGGACTGACGTCACTGCTGGGCCTCCTTTAACCTGAAGGCAGAATGCCCAGGTGAGCCTGGCACAGATTCTTACCTGTGCTGGTCCTGCCTTGAGTCTCTTGAAGGTCCTGCTCTCCCTCCATGTCCTGAATCTTGGACGTGCCAAGGATACCATGCCACCTCACCCATGAGGGCAGGACAGAGGCCCTAGTATACTCAGAAGCAGGCTACATAGAGAAGGCCACTCTTCTGTCAATTTTCCCACTGGACATGCTGTCCCCTTCCCTAACCCAGCCCTGCCAGATGTTTGGCGGGGGAGCCAGCCTGTTTCCCAGCAGTCACTGGTGACCTTGCCCATGGACTCCCCCAGAACT